AATATTAAAATAAATATATATAAACAAATACTAGATAATATGATATCATCTCCATATGGGTTTTATATAGATAATAACTTTATTGATGACTAGTTTGAAAATATACAAATAAGCTAAAATATACCACAAACAGAACTTGAGTCAAATATCAAAAAAGTACATTCTTATCCTCAATTAAAGATGGGTTCCTAAAGAGAGAGGTAGGGACAAAAGTCAAATGTTCCTCACTAGAAAAGATTAAAATTTTTAAATTGACCTATAATTGTTTTCCATTATCAAAATCATTGATTTATAGCATCTTCTAATTTTTGTCCCTATTAAAGTAAAGAGCTATGAATTTTGTTCCTTAAAAAGGGACATAAGCGATTTGCAAAATTTTATATACTAAATACTTTAGGGACCTATCATTATCCTCAACACAACCAAGGTCCAGTTAACTGAACTACAACAAATAGAAGAAAGTAATTTAAAATAATCATCACAATAAATAAAGTATTTGAAAAAAACAACAAAAAAAAACTCTAAATTATTCAAAAATTACTCTCATACCTGGAATCTTTCATCTCTATTTGATTGAAATAAATCCAATCTAGGCTTCATTATTATAGCACTTTTTGGGACAGAGTCAGATATTAAAAAAGCTAAACACATTAAAATTTATGATAACCTCACTATTTACATGCAGCAAACATCAGTTTATAATGGCATAAAAGTAAAACACAGGACAATTAGAGTATAGAACATCCCCTAAACATATCACAGACAGATATTAATGCAGTTTTTATTAAATTTGAAGAAATTAAAGCCATAAAAATACAAACAATCAGCATATGGCAATCAGCAAATATTGAATATTATTAATAACAAGATTATAACCAAATTAGCAAAAGATGAACAATTCCTTTAGAAATGATCTAATCAGAATCTTTCTATTCTTAAATATAAATCAAATCAACAAAGAAAGAAGTGCTCATGTCCTGAGGCTCACAAACCTACCTCCTGACACCATTAATTATAACTTGAAAAATACTATCAATGAAACAAAAGCTTAAATATACTATATTCCTAGAACATAACAATATAATAGAAAAAGATTCACTATTCTGTGTTTCACTAATGAAGAATCATTGTAATAAGCAATATATACACCAACCTATTTAGATACAACACAACTAGTTTGGATAGATATTTCTACAAAAATTTGCAACATCTGCTTTAGCACAAACCATATACTTAATAATTGTTCTATTAATTTGAAATAGCAAAAAATGCAAGAAATAAAGAAACAAAATGTAAAGAAGTTTGAATATCTCTACACCAAGTTCAAACCAGCAAAAAGTGAAGTAATCAAGACACTCACCACGATATTAAACACTTACAATGAACCTTTATTTACATATATTATCAAAATACAAAAACATAAAGAAACAATTAAAGACACAAATACCAACAACAAATTAAAGGATAATATAATACTCAAAAATATTTATAATATTCTTCAGCACCTATGCAATGAAATCGATTCTATTAAATAAGATCTAATATAGATTAATCAGCATATGAATAATCTAGAAACAGACATACAAGATCTTTATTATATTGTTAATTAATTAGAAAAACTAAAGACCTACAATATTGAAGACACAGACAATCCAGTACAGTCTCCAACATATCTAGGAAAAGATATGTATACAGTTCTCTTCAAGACATTAAAGTAGTACAAGATAAATCAACACTGAAAGTCAACAATTTAAAAAACTTTTTAGTTAAAATTACTACCTTCTGTAATCTACAATCTATACAGAAATCTGATCTATCACAGTTGAAAAATCAACAATGATATATCCTATCAACTATCAAATACCACTTCATCAATTAGAACACATAAACACCACAGTTAGTTAAGCCTCTTTGGAAATTAAGAGTCTTAAGACTTCTTTAGTACACCTTTTTCCAATTTTCTTTTTTCTTTTTTTTTTTAATTTCAATGTTGACTAGTTTTTAACTAATACAAGAGATCCTTAGTATTAAATGATGTTAGGAACCTTGGACAAGTCCTGATATATTAGGCCTCACTAGTGGGGTGACAACAAGCTGATTAGTGAGTGTATTAGTGTATTTTAGATAATATTAACTCTTGATTAAGGTATGTGTTCAGCAATACACAACTGTATATATCTGATTTATCTTCATATTGTTTTTAAAAGAAAGTATTTATACTAGATGATAATATATTTTTCTTATTTTGATTAGAATAGACATAGATCGAGTCATATAAATAGTTAGCTCACTATTCTATTTCTCTTTAATAAAATGTAAATCCTTAGACAATATAGAAAAATATTAATCCTGATTGTCCCTAAATATGATCTTTTATTAATAAAGTACTGGAGAAGATATAGGATAAGTCAGTTTCTCAAAAAAAAAAAAAAAAAACCAAAAACAAAATAAGATAATAAAATACTTGTTGGAATGTTTAGTTTATAAAAATTAATTAGATAAAATTTTTATATCTATATTTTAACAAAAAAATATTATTATTAAAAAAAAAAAATCTAGAAAACAAAGATTTAAAAAAGATTTTAATAAAAAAAAAATTAGATATAAAATAAAGTAATTAAAATTTGAATATTACTAAAATTTTTAAAGTAATCCATAGTAATAATCTATAATATTATTATTATTAGTTAAAAAAATCTTTATCTAAATCATTAATAAAACAATAAATTATTTCTAAAGATATACTTAGAATTTTAAAAAAATATAAAATAAAAACAAATAAATATATAAAAATTTGGCTTTAATAAAATATATATTTAACTTGACAAAGAATTAAAAAAATATATATATCAATTTCTATCACTTATTAAGTTTTTTAAATAATAAAAAGACTTTATTAAAAAAACTAAGATTTTTTGACTTTAATTTTGATTAGACAAAATTAAAATATTATCAATACTATTATTTTAATCAAGTCTTAAGTTCAATTTTATTAATAAAAAACATAAAATAAAATCTTTTATCCTAAGAACTTAAAGTAATAAGGTTCTTTAAATAATATATAATCTCAATAATCAATAGATTAGTTCTTTAAATAGTTTGAAAAAAAAAAATTTTTTTTAATTAAACAGATAAATTTAAATAAGAATTTTTTGAAAAGATTTTAAAAATTTTTTTCCTTTTCTCCAGTATATTAATTTAACAATTTGTTATTTTTTTCTAATAGATAAAAATAGAATACTAATCTATCAGAAAAGTAAAATATTGTTTAATCTGACTTACTGTATAATATTTAATTTAAATATTGTTTTGCTTAATCTAAATTAACTAATGGATTCTTCATATTTTTTTAATACAATTCTTCAACAATTATGAGTTAACTGTCATATGAATAGTCTATATAACATTGTAGATGTTTATTTAATACTATATTTGAAAAGTTAGAAAATATAGTTATCGATCAATTATTATAGTATATAACGGTAATATGTTTACGATCATAAAACTGAATTGGATTGGATAGATCGATTAAGAATGCAATTTTTTAATTTATTGAATATTCTGCGCGCCGCTACAAAAAACTATATACATTATAAGCGTTTTATTTAATCTAAATCTTTTTTTATTTATTTTTTAATTTTTTTAATAACTTATTAATAAGCTAATGAATCAATCAAATTTGAATAAAGCAATATATGAGGCATAAGATTCTCTCGGTCACCAAAATACAACAAAAATCGTAAAAATTGAAGCTATATTGTATTGATACTTGAGAATAAGAAAATCGTATGCTGAGAAAAAAAAAAAAAATAGATTATTTTATGCTAAAATTGTCCATACATCGTTGATATCATAAAAAAAGGGAAAATAATCATATCGGTATAATGAGCATATGCTTGGTACTTCGTCTGAATAAAAGAAAGAACAAGCGAAGAGAAGATCTTAAAGAAAATATACATATTTACAAGTTACAGAGGAAAATGAACATCCAGAGTGAAGAACGAATGACGACTAAAATAAAAATGGTAAAACATTATCATCCCATTCTTCACCAACCCAATCACTCAGTTCCATCATTCTTGCTTCCATTTGGCTTTGTTCGACAACATGTTTTACCATTGAATCATAAAGCCAGTCCAGAACAGAAGCTTCTTTTATAGATTCTACCACATTGTTGTTGTCTAATAATGGTTCTTCAGCATCAACTGCATGAGAGGAAGAGTCTATATTTTTCGCTGATAAAGGATCCAAAGATTGGCAATGAATGTCATTTGATTCGCCTGATTTCTTATCAACAATTTCCAGAGATTGAGGCTCTTCACTTAAATTTTTAGGTACAGAAATAGAATTTGGAAATAGAGCCGAAATCATCAAATGACGTGGTGTAGCACATACCGCTTCGATAAACAGAGTAGTAATTCGTTGCGTTATAATAGAAAACAACATATATGCAAACAAAGCTTTTTGACCGGTCTCGCTGGATCTGACATCAAGATGATCCAATTTAATGGGTTGCCCATTGGTAATGACATTCCGGAAGCCAGAATAAGAGAGGTCTGATTTTTCCTCAAATAAATGTTTATCAAGCTTAAATTCTGGAATAAACGTTGTTTGCACTCTGACTCGGGAATCTTGCCATGATTTTTTGCCTGCGGAAGAAGAAGAAGGTGAGGCGTCCTTATTTACTTTGGGGATTATTAAATAACGGGAATCAGGAGAAGGTGGCTGGTGATTCTGAGGTGCTTTAATCGTATTTGACCTTTGAGTACTCCCGTTTTTGGAAAACGTATGACTGTTGGGAATATCCTTTGTCGTTGAGGAAGAATTATGAGGTGGAGAAGGAGGTGGATTGACAAAAACTTTGCTATTTTGTTTTTGTTTACGCAATTCTTCTACTTCTTGTTGTAACTTGTTGTTTTCTTCTTGTAGATGCAACAATGCTTGCCTGAGCAAATTTATTTCTTCCTGTTGCTGTTCTTTCGTAGATTCCAAGCTTTGAATGTACTCTATTCACAAGGAATTTACATATCCAGTTAGACATAACGTACGATCATTTATTTTTCAGTCAAATTAGATTAACAAACCTTTTCTGCGAACACGAAAATTCCTTGCAGAAATTTTATTACGAAGTTGTCGCCGCTCCTTAGATGATAGTTTTTTCAAATCAATTTGAGAGTTATCAGTCTGTTTTTGGTCGCTTTCTGTGCTATTATTATTTGGAACGGCTGGTGGCTTTGATATAGTATTCAAGTTTGAAAATGCAGAATTTTCTGGTGTTGAGGAGCCAGACAACATGGTGACTTTATTATTATCTACGATTGTTTCTCGTTTAATAATGGGAAGTTTAGCCAATAACTCTGCTAACTGCGCATTCAAAATAGCCAAAGATGGACCAACCGCAGTCGAAACGTTAGATTGAGGAAGAACGTTATTCTCTTCAACCACGTCTACAGGGTTTGTTTTAGCTTCATCGGAAATGGAAACGGGGCTGGTCGCTAAAGAAAAGTCCTCTACATTCTGCATGGCCGTTGCATAGTTCTCGGAGTCAAGGTTTGCTACGTCCTTGACTAACTCACCTTCCAGATAGTAACGAAAGAGATCGGAGGTAGACATATTCCCGATGTCAATATCCTCCTCCATAGTATCGTTTCTCAAAAAATCCATGTCGATATAGGTGTCGAAAGCATCGTCACTACCATAAGAGTTGGGGTCATTCGAAGATAATAAATTTCTTGACGAAGCCATAGTTAAATTTCAGTAGTACTTGTTTAAAAAAATCTTTTGATTTCACTTGGTTCTTTCTTTTTTTATTTTGCGAAAATAAATTTTCTGCAAGGCAAAGTATGAGTAGGGAAAAGATAAGGTTTATAAAATAATGTAAATGTAAAGCGACAAAAAAAATTACGATTTTTCATTTCTGAAGATAAAGTTGGGTTGTCACGTGACAAATAATTACTAATCCTGAAAAAATCCGCCAATAAACCAAAGTAGGTTGGCAACTTTTTTTAGATTTCATTGTGATACAAATCTTTCTTTAAAGCAAAGGATGCTTCTTATGAAGTAAGAATTAATCTTTTAATAAAAAAATATTTAGAAAAAAAGGTGATATCAATAGAAGAATGGGAAGAATATGATATATTTTATATAAATCTATATACAGCAATATATATTTATATTCTTTAATGATAAAAGATAAAAATAAAAAACTAATTTTCACTTTTCTTTATTTTATAAAAAAATAAATTTTTTTTTCTCTTTTTGTTTTTATATAGAATCATGTTAATTTGAGAAATATCATATATAATAATAGTCTAAGATAAAAAATTTTATTTATTTTTTTAAAAAATATATATTCTTAAAGTAAGATTATATATATATATATATATTTTTAATCCTCTGTTAGGCTAGTTATATATGTTTTATTAAACAATTGTATATATAGTATAAATCACTAAAGCTAAAACTTTAACTAGCTCACTCGTCTCAGTAATTACTCCAAGTGCAACTTTAAAAGTAATTTTTCGTTCCATTAAAAGTTCAGGTAAAGATCCTTCCAACTTTTAATATTATCACCTGCAGGTTACTGCTGCAGATCACTTTTTGCAGTTCTGACAGAACTCAAAACCCAACCATTTTATTTCGAATCTAACCCCTTTTGATAAGATATCCATGAGACCTTGATCTTCTAATCTTCCTTCTTCTATTAATGAAGCTCCTCTTCTTTCTGGTGATACAGTTTTAGATTTTGGATCAGGAAGGCTTGGAGGTCTTTTCATCTTATCATTTCTTTGGATCCCTTATGTTCTTTTTTTATTCTATGATTTTTTCATATCTTGCATTTCAAACCTTCTTACAAAATTGATTGCATACTGTACTCTGTATCTTCTTTATCCATTTTCTTGCTTCTTTTTCAATTCTTTTGTCATGGCATCTAAGATCTGCCATCTCGAGAACAAGGTTGCTTCTTATTAATTCTGTAAAGAAGCTTAACATATCTTGGCTAGTTGTTAAAGCTTGTTTCACTAGCCTGGATATCTTCTTATCTATTTCTTTCAATTCTTCCCTATTCTCTATTATTAGTCTCACATTCTTCTCAACCGTTTCCTTTTTTCTTTCTTGTAGGAGTTCTCTAAAGTTCTTCAGAATCCCTTCGAGACCTTTGTTCTATGCTTCTTGCATCTGTTCCTTATAAGCTGGACATTTTAGCAGATGATCAATTGTTTCTTCTTTATAGAGACCATATGCAATACATTTCACTTGCTTATACAGACCCGGCCTTTTTATTGCCAGCTTACTCAAGATTGGCAGCTCATCACTCATTAATTTAATAAGAAAGCTCTTTCTCTGTAAGTCTTTGAAAGATGTGTCCAATATATGTTCATTCATTCTTTTCTATGTAGATCCCAAGTACTGTATATTCTTGTTGTTTTTTGATCTGATGATTCCATTTCTTTTCAGTTCTATTCTATACTATTTATTGATATATCATGGTTTTATTATTTATCTTTTTTATAAATTGTCTTATGGGATCATCTAGTGTCTTGTCTTTCCACTTGATTTCTGTGAGGATATTATAGGAAGTAAGGTTCTCCTATTCTATTGCAGGCAAGTTAAGAGCTCCTTTGACTAAAGCATCTGCTTCGTCATTATAGGGATTATTAGAATGTGTCTTGACCTTAGTAAACTTTAAATCTAAGTTTTCTTTTTGACCAGCTCTACCATTCGGATCCATAATGACCAGTTTTTATTTTTTAGCCATCTTTTATGTATTCTTTTGGATTATTTTTTTTGACTGATATTTATTTAGAGATATAAGCTTGACTATTTGTGAAAATTTCAATTGTGCTATCTATTGGAACTACTAGGAGTATTGTGATTATTGCTGTTATTTCTACTCTTGTTGATAAGAACCAATTATCTACTCCCATTTGAAATCTACTTTCCTTTCCTGCTTCACTAATTTGAATCTATGTTGCTCCCATTTTCATTATATCACTTCTATGATCGACAAGTGAGCCATCTGAATAGAAGGTCAGCTTTTGATTGGATCCTTGATTATGCCGAAGTATCTCTAATAAGTAATCTTGATATACTCCCTCTTTAACACTTGTTTTGATAATTATTTCTTCCCAATTTTTTATATCCACATAGTTCATTCTGATACATTGAGAAGGGGACAGTAAGATAGAATTCTGTATTATAATCCTATCATCTTGTATTGCTCTTTTGATTGCTTTTTCTAGTAAAATCTTGAAACTTGGAATTGTTAACATCTGGACTTTTCTGGTACTTTTTCTTGTGTTGAGATATGGTATTGTGTATATCTTATTTATATCTTCTTCTATTATACAATTGTTTTCTTGGATACAACCCTCCAAGCAATCTGAGCATTTTATCAAATTTGTTTCCTGATTATTTTTATTGTTCTAACAGTTATAATGTTAGATCTTTACTTTATTTCTTGTCTCTTTGTGTACCAATTTTCCCCAAGACAGTTGATAGTTAGGATCCTTTTGTACTACCCATATCTTCTGCCTTTTGTCTCAGTTGACACTTGCTTTAGGGTATACTGGTTCCCATTTTGTCTGATCTATTTCTCAAGATTTTATAAGCTGGTTCAGAAGATTTACAAAGAGTATTTTGTTTATAGTTAAGAACTATTTTGGAATGGATCCTTTTCCTGTTTTTTAAATAAGTTGAAGTATTCACTATTTTCTAAATTCATTTGTCTTATTATCAACAAGTTGATTTATATACATCATCTTGTTATTTTTTAATGATGGAATGGCCTTATAGTACTCATCAGGTGAAAGGTATTCTTTAATTAGACTGTTTCCCTT